AATTTTCAATATGTGCTGAGATCACAATAGGCTTAATAGATAGAAATAACTTAAATGTTATGCTGTTTTATTGCATTTTAATTGCGCATTCGTCCAGTGTTGGTCAAAAAAGGCATAAAAAAGAATTACACATTCAGGTACAAACTTCGGCATCAATCACCTGTTTTGTATCACTCTGTTGGAAAAGGGGTCATTTTTCAACGGGGGGGGGCAATTTTTTTTATAGAACATACATATAAAAAAAGACCCCTAGGGCTCTTTTTCTATAAATTTTTTTTCTACGGCTGGGGGGTCATTTTTTGTCATTGAAAAATGACCTCCGGTCATTATTCTATGTGGGTCATTATTCGTCTTTACACATGCCACTCCAAAGTCAATATGAAGAATAGGGACATGGAGAGTAAAGACAATGTTTGCTATTTGGAAACACAGCTCTGTTCACAAGGGAAATGCAGAGATATCGACTCGACAGTTTGGGGAAAAGTAAGAGCAGAATGGGTTAGTCAGGAAAGATCAATTCATTACATATAGGTTTATGTCCGGGTACCTCTCCATTCCTTAAAAGTAGTTGAGCCGAGGACTACTGCTTTTAAGAAATGGAGTACGCGGATATCAACCCACTTAAATTCAACTGCTTTAATGTTATTATTGTTTTTCAATATGAAATATCATTAAGTAACGTTTTATTAAGTTAAATGAAAATTTATGTATATCCTTTCCACAGTCATAGCGTAAAAATGCGTAATGGACAAAAATAGCGATTTTGACCCCCTGTCCTGAGCCCCAGGGGAGGATTTCATGCCATATTTGGAATAGATCGTGAGAGTAAGTTAAAATTACAAAGTTCTTTCTTTATTCTGTCTAATTCTAGAGATACTCAGATACGCAACAGACACAGGGGGTTCATTAAACCATTTTTCCGGTATTCTATACCCATCAAGCTTTGGCCGGTTTAAGTTCCTCTTAATAGGCAGGTACAAAATCTAGGCATCATAAAAAAGGGAAAACTTAATAAAAGGTGACAACGAAAAGGGAAGGAGGAATGGAGAGAAAAATTGCATCCTAAAATTTATAAAAAGGTCTTTCGGGCACACTTTTTCTTCGGCTGACCCCTACGCCGTGACCTTTAGGCGATTCCGATCTTCATTCTGTAGGACATTAAACCTACCCTTTCTTGATGTGGATAATTTATCGATACAGTGAGTTATATTTTTTCATTATTTTTTTCCCGGACGACCCCCCTTCGGATCAAGAATGTTAACAATCTCCGGCCGTCGAAAGGATGTAATATATAGTACGGCAAAGAAAGTGTTGTGAAGTCACTTAAATCGGCTTCGGTGGCGTAGCACAATGAGTACCCGACTACATTTCAGAAGGCACTGGGATCCATTCATTTTTCTTATGAAAATATAACAAACATTATAGAATTCTATAGTTCTAACAAGCCAAGTACCAATAGAGGTTCGAGGGGGAGAACATATACAGAATATGAATGCTATGATCTTAATGTGATTTGTAACTTATTTCCCGAAAAAAATGGAGGGATCAAAGAAAAGACAGCTATCACAAGAAGATTTTAACAGGGAAAAAATCAATTACACGGGCAGACAGAGAAAATATCACATGAATGGAGTGACAATAGCCATGACAGTCAAAAAAAGTCCAAAGATTCCTATGTTAATAAACTACATAATATACATATATGTATTACAGGAAGATTCTGGTCCAAGTTCATCAACACCACTGCATGTAATCGAAGTATATGTACCAAGTAATGAAGCAAAAGAAGAAGGAGACAAAGACTGGTTTTATGAATAACTTCAAAGGGTGTTAGAAAATATGCCACACCACCATGGCATTATTCTAGTCTTTGTAGTCGTTAATACAAACTTTGGAGGACGATTTGATGGAGAAGAAAGACCCATCGGTGTATATGGGATTGATTGTGAAAGAAATAAAAATGAACGGTTCTCATCCTTTTGTGCTATTAACGTCTTAGCAGTGAGATCGATTATGTTCAAGAAAAAAGATATCCACGTACAAACACGGACCTCATCAAATGAACATCACCCAAATCAAATAGATCATGTAGCGGTTAATGGAAAGTTCAAGAGATCTGTTCGTGATGCTTGGGCATTTAGAGATGCAGACGTTGGAAGTGATCACAGCTTGGTAGCTCCTCAGAGCCAAACTTAAGTTACTCAAATACGGTGTGAAAACATTGAATTGCACAAGATAAGAAACGCAAATTGGAATCAAAAGACATTTCAGAGAAATCCAGGTTATTGTTAAGAAAAAGATATCACATCCTTGAGGAACAATCAATAATGACACAGAGAGTCAGTGAGAAACCTTTAAGACTACATATAATAAAAGTGCTATGAACGTCTAAGGACCAAAACAGAGAGAACATGAGGAATGGATAAGAAGTGAGAGCTGGAAGAAGGTAGATGTTAGAAAGCAACTGAAAGAGAAGCTAAACTCTGTAAGATCAAAACATAGGTAATCAAAGATTACGAAGCTCACCTCGACGAATGTTATCTACATGTAAGGCAAATTTCACATCATATTTTTTTTCTAGTTAGGGTACATCCCAAGATCAATATCCATGCAAGTTTGATTTAAATATAGACCTGCTTAAAAAACTTTTGACCTGTTTAGTAATCAAGAAAATTTTGGTCAGTTCCAACATCCAAAGCAAGTCTGGAAGTTTTCATCCTTAGATGCACCATCTATGCAAGTTTAATCATAACAAGCCATAATATTATATAGCTACTCCAAAAAAATTACCCTGGTCACTCATCTGGAAAATGTACATCAGATTCAGAATCCAAGGCAAGTCTGGAAGTGTCCATCCCTAGATACATCATCCATGCTAATTTGGTTAAAATATGGCTAAAATTCACTCATGTGGAAAATCTAGGTCAGATCCAGCATTCGAAGCAGGTTGGTTAGTGTACATCCCTAGATGCATCATCCATGAAAGTTTGGACCAGGTAGGGCTTATAGTTACTTGGGAATGAGACTACTCCTAAATCTAAACCTGGTCTCACATGTGGAAAATCTAGGTCAGATCCAGCATCTGAAGCAAGTGTGGTAGTGTTCATCCCTGGATGCATCATCCATGAAAGTTTGGTCCGGGTAGGGTTTATAGTAACTTGGGAATGGACCTGCTCCTAAAACTTTAACCTGGTCACTCATCTGGAAAATCTAGGTCAGATCCAGCATCCGAAGTAAGTTTGGTAGTGACCATCCCTAGATGCATCATCCATGCAAGTTTGGTCCAGGTAGGGCTTATAGTTACTTGGGAATGGACCTGCTCTAAAACTTAAACCTGGTCACTCATCTGGAAAATCTAGGTCAGATCCAGCATCCGAAGTAAGTGTGGCCATGTCCATCCCTAGATGCATCATCCATGCAAGTTTGGTCAAGGTAGGACTTATAGTTACTTGGGAATGGACCTGCCCCTAAAACTTTAACCTGGTCACTCATCTGGAAAATCTAGGTCAGATCCAGCATCCGAAGCAAGTTTGGTAGTGTCCATCCCTAGATGCATCATCCATGCAAGTTTGGTCAAGGTAGGGCTTATAGATACTTGGGAATGGACCTGCTCCTAAAACTTTCACCTGGTCACTCATCCGGAAAATCTAGGTCAGATCCAGCATCCGAAGTAAGTGTGGCCATGTCCATCCCTAGATGCATCATCCATGCAAGTTTGGTCAAGGTAGGGCTTATAGTTACTTTGGAATGGACCTGCTCCTAAAACTTTAACCTGGTCACTCATCTGGAAAATCTAGGTCAGATCCAGCATCCGAAGCAAGTTTGGTAGTGTCCATCCCTAGATGCATCATCCATGCAAGTTTGGTCAAGGTAGGGCTTATAGTTACTTGGGAATGGACCTGCTCCTAAAACTTTAACCTGGTCACTCATCTGAAAAATCTAGGTCAGATCCAGCATTCGAAGCAAGTTTAGTAGTGTCCATCCCTAGATGCATCATCCATGCAAGTTTGGTCAAGGTAGGGCTTATAGTTACTTGGGAATGGACCTGCTCCTAAAACTTTCACCTGGTCACTCATCCGGAAAATCTAGGTCAGATCCAGCATCCGAAGTAAGTGTGGCCATGTCCATCCCTAGATGCATCATCCATGCAAGTTTGGTCAAGGTAGGGCTTATAGTTACTTTGGAATGGACCTGCTCCTAAAACTTTAACCTGGTCACTCATCTGGAAAATCTAGGTCAGATCCAGCATCCGAAGCAAGTTTGGTAGTGTCCATCCCTAGATGCATCATCCATGCAAGTTTGGTCAAGGTAGGGCTTATAGTTACTTGGGAATGGACCTGCTCCTAAAACTTTAACCTGGTCACTCATCTGAAAAATCTAGGTCAGATCCAGCATTTGAAGCAAGTTTAGTAGTGTCCATCCCTAGATGGATCATCCATGCAAGTTTGGTCAAGGTAGGGCTTATAGTTACTTGGGAATGGACCTGCTCCTAAAACTTTCACCTGGTCACTCATCCGGAAAATCTAGGTCAGATCCAGCATCCGAAGCAAGTGTGGTAGTGTCCATCCCTAGATGCATCATCAATGCAAGTTTGATCCAGGTAGGGCTTATAGTTACTTAGGAATGGACCTGCTCCTAAAACTTTAACCTAGTCACTCATCTGGAAAATCTAGGTCAGATCCAGCATCCGAAGCAAGTTTGGTAGTGTCCATCCCTAGATGCATCATCCATGCAAGTTTGGTCCAGGTAGGGCTTATAGTTACTTGGGAATGGGACTTGCTCCTAAAACTTTAACCTGGGACGCCGACGCTAACGCCGACGCCGACACCGACGCCGACGCCGACGCCGGGGGTATAGCATAAGCTCATCTCGACTTCGTCGAGGTGAGCTAAAAAGGGTAAAAGAAAGGATACAGAGTGGTTGATTGTATTTTGTTTTACGTCCCATTCGAGAATTTTTCACTCATATTGGGTACAGCCCACTAATTGTTTTCCCATAGGCGGCAATGTTAACATTTCTTCACATAGCAATGTCCCTAATTTTCGTTCAGCATTGAGTGACCCCTCAAATCAAAGCACATCAAGTTGTCTTTCCTTGGTTAAAATCTCGAGGTGGCATGTCAGATTCGTTTTCCGGCAAAATGCGTCTGTCTGCGTTAACCTCTGAAAATGAAAGTGAAAGTAGGGGATTTCAAGACTTCTCACTGGTGTTATAATACATAAAATAATTCTGCTGATCTTCTTGATAAATTACATCTGCCAAGCTTTTTTGCAAGGGAACATACTCCTTATCAACAAGTATGAGGCTCAGTTTAATACCTTATCACAGTTTTTTTTACTCAGGTCTGCAAATTAAACAACTTGTAATTTTTTCTGCACTACTTTCTTCTCCTACCGATTCTAAAAATAATTAGAGGTATGTACCCAATATGAAAAGAATTCTCTGGATTTTACAACATTTAACATCATAAGTCATACTACAAACTATGTAGTGACATTATGCCAAATTTCAGGAAAATTCAATCATTAATAAAGATTTTACAGCATGCACAGTTCTATATGCAAAATTCTTTTAAAATGCTTCCATCTAGCCACAACTGCACCCAAATTTTAAGTCATCAGTTAGCCTATTAATGTACTTATACCATTTTTATTCTCTTTCATAATTTTAAATACATCAAGCAAAATCATAATCAAGCACTCATACGGGTCCATTTCTCTTATTTTAAAAAATCAATGCATTTTTGCACAAAATTTTATATCCCTCACCCTTGAATTCATTGTTTCTCCATGATTGACAAAAAAATTAAGTTTACAAATACCCCGAAAGTAGTAAAAATAGAAAGTACTGATTATTTCCTGTCCATTGATGCATCATTCAGAAAAATTGGTATAGGAATAAAGAAGTTATAAGCCCTTATATTCTTGTAAACATTCATCTGTTTCAAAGCAATTTTTACGCCAATGCAAGGTCACTCATCTATGACGTCATAATGACATCATAATAATGGATTGCTTATTACACATGTAGTGTTACTTTTCCCGTACTTTTAATTAAAGTTGAAATTAGAACTAAAATATTCATTATAACTATAAAATAACAAAAATACTTGCATGAGCAGATCAAATAAATAGTCTACAGAAAATGTTTTGTTTCCATGGTAACCATTTTGTAATTTGTAGGAAAATGAAAGAGAACTTTGAAAGTTTTGAATTTCCTTACAAGTCGCTCATTCTGACTGACAAATATTAAAGAAATTTCAACTCTTATATTTTTTAATCTTAATATTTTATCATACACAACACTATGAATGTAACTGTTTTGAAATTCTCTTTAAAACATATTAGCTGTAAAATATATAGCATACATGTACAGATTAGTTTGATGTTCACTTTCATTGCTCAAATATTCATTTAAAATCTACATTTACTAAGCTTTAACACCCCCCCCCCTCCTCCCGCACACACACACATACACACAAAGAAGCTTTAGAAAATTCAACTTACATATTAAAAGTACTGCCATCATTTTATATATGAAGACTCAAGCTGTGTTCAAATGAGTTTGTTTTTCCTGACTGATAGTTTTAAACACCATCTGCATGAACCTCAAAGTTAACCTGTATCAACATGAACCTAAAAAAAAAAATCAATTTAAAAAATGGTGCAATAATTAATCAGCATCAAAAAGCACCTAAAACATTCACAGACAGACATCAAACACACACAATCCTACAACATTCCCTGATGCCCTTAATTGGTTGATATCAATTGAAAATTATGAATTTGCACTGATTAGTCTCAGCATTGTTAAATTACATGTAAATTAATAATACAGGTAAAAAGCATGTAACTGACAATAATTATACATTAGACAAATACATGTAATCCAGTTAATAAAATATAAAAAAAAATGTTAGTGTGCATGTTCACACACACACTGCTTAACTTCTACACAACTGTAGCCTGACCGACTTCTTTGAAAAAATGCACATGTATGTCCTCGTTCATGTAATTCTATTCCATGAAAATAAAAGTTTTCATTTACAAATATTGTAATAAAGCATGGAAACCTCTTTTTTTCTTTACCTCTTTCATAAAATGACAAATGCATATCATCTACATACTGCAAGACTCTGCATTAGGTAGCATAGCTGCACTAAGCAGTGTTGATAACTTACTGCCATTCTACTTTCACTTTGACCTTGAACTTCACTGAATACTGATTCCGACCTCATTTCTGAACTTTTGTGTATTGATGATAAACAATAGTGGTGGATGTACTTCTAAAATAATTGTTCCTTTTCTAAATATCTATTAATGGCTCGGAATTAATAAATTGTATAGAATCGATACATTTAATTTACATGCTACATGTGTACACAATGGGAGATTTGCGCATAAGCTGTCTGTTCCTAAAAATGGGGGGGGGGGGGTTATTAACAAATCGATTTGTTTCAAAATATGTATAAACAAATTAAAATTTGCTTCTTTCATAAATTTAAACAATTGGAAATGATAGTAAACACCGAGTTCAAAACAAAGTAAAGATCTATGAGAATTTTCACTTACCAATAGGCTTCACATATTGGGTACAGCCCACTAATTGTTTTCCCATAGGCGGCAATGTTAACATTTCTTCACATAGCAATGTCCCTAATTTTCGTTCAGCATTGAGTGACCCCTCAAATCAAAGCACATCAAGTTGTCTTTCCTTGGTTAAAATCTCGAGGTGGCATGTCAGATTCGTTTTCCGGCAAAATGCGTCTGTCTGCGTTAACCTCTGAAAATGAAAGTGAAAGTAGGGGATTTCAAGACTTCTCACTGGTGTTATAATACATAAAATAATTCTGCTGATCTTCTTGATAAATTACATCTGCCAAGCTTTTTTGCAAGGGAACATACTCCTTATCAACAAGTATGAGGCTCAGTTTAATACCTTATCACAGTTTTTTTTACTCAGGTCTGCAAATTAAACAACTTGTAATTTTTTCTGCACTACTTTCTTCTCCTACCGATTCTAAAAATAATTAGAGGTATGTACCCAATATGAAAAGAATTCTCTGGATTTTACAACATTTAACATCATAAGTCATACTACAAACTATGTAGTGACATTATGCCAAATTTCAGGAAAATTCAATCATTAATAAAGATTTTACAGCATGCACAGTTCTATATGCAAAATTCTTTTAAAATGCTTCCATCTAGCCACAACTGCACCCAAATTTTAAGTCATCAGTTAGCCTATTAATGTACTTATACCATTTTTATTCTCTTTCATAATTTTAAATACATCAAGCAAAATCATAATCAAGCACTCATACGGGTCCATTTCTCTTATTTTAAAAAATCAATGCATTTTTGCACAAAATTTTATATCCCTCACCCTTGAATTCATTGTTTCTCCATGATTGACAAAAAAATTAAGTTTACAAATACCCCGAAAGTAGTAAAAATAGAAAGTACTGATTATTTCCTGTCCATTGATGCATCATTCAGAAAAATTGGTATAGGAATAAAGAAGTTATAAGCCCTTATATTCTTGTAAACATTCATCTGTTTCAAAGCAATTTTTACGCCAATGCAAGGTCACTCATCTATGACGTCATAATGACATCATAATAATGGATTGCTTATTACACATGTAGTGTTACTTTTCCCGTACTTTTAATTAAAGTTGAAATTAGAACTAAAATATTCATTATAACTATAAAATAACAAAAATACTTGCATGAGCAGATCAAATAAATAGTCTACAGAAAATGTTTTGTTTCCATGGTAACCATTTTGTAATTTGTAGGAAAATGAAAGAGAACTTTGAAAGTTTTGAATTTCCTTACAAGTCGCTCATTCTGACTGACAAATATTAAAGAAATTTCAACTCTTATATTTTTTAATCTTAATATTTTATCATACACAACACTATGAATGTAACTGTTTTGAAATTCTCTTTAAAACATATTAGCTGTAAAATATATAGCATACATGTACAGATTAGTTTGATGTTCACTTTCATTGCTCAAATATTCATTTAAAATCTACATTTACTAAGCTTTAACACCCCCCCCCCCTCCTCCCGCACACACACACATACACACAAAGAAGCTTTAGAAAATTCAACTTACATATTAAAAGTACTGCCATCATTTTATATATGAAGACTCAAGCTGTGTTCAAATGAGTTTGTTTTTCCTGACTGATAGTTTTAAACACCATCTGCATGAACCTCAAAGTTAACCTGTATCAACATGAACCTAAAAAAAAAAATCAATTTAAAAAATGGTGCAATAATTAATCAGCATCAAAAAGCACCTAAAACATTCACAGACAGACATCAAACACACACAATCCTACAACATTCCCTGATGCCCTTAATTGGTTGATATCAATTGAAAATTATGAATTTGCACTGATTAGTCTCAGCATTGTTAAATTACATGTAAATTAATAATACAGGTAAAAAGCATGTAACTGACAATAATTATACATTAGACAAATACATGTAATCCAGTTAATAAAATATAAAAAAAAATGTTAGTGTGCATGTTCACACACACACTGCTTAACTTCTACACAACTGTAGCCTGACCGACTTCTTTGAAAAAATGCACATGTATGTCCTCGTTCATGTAATTCTATTCCATGAAAATAAAAGTTTTCATTTACAAATATTGTAATAAAGCATGGAAACCTCTTTTTTTCTTTACCTCTTTCATAAAATGACAAATGCATATCATCTACATACTGCAAGACTCTGCATTAGGTAGCATAGCTGCACTAAGCAGTGTTGATAACTTACTGCCATTCTACTTTCACTTTGACCTTGAACTTCACTGAATACTGATTCCGACCTCATTTCTGAACTTTTGTGTATTGATGATAAACAATAGTGGTGGATGTACTTCTAAAATAATTGTTCCTTTTCTAAATATCTATTAATGGCTCGGAATTAATAAATTGTATAGAATCGATACATTTAATTTACATGCTACATGTGTACACAATGGGAGATTTGCGCATAAGCTGTCTGTTCCTAAAAATGGGGGGGGGGGGGGGGGGGTTATTAACAAATCGATTTGTTTCAAAATATGTATAAACAAATTAAAATTTGCTTCTTTCATAAATTTAAACAATTGGAAATGATAGTAAACACCGAGTTCAAAACAAAGTAAAGATCTATGAGAATTTTCACTTACCAATAGGCTTCACATATTGGGTACAGCCCACTAATTGTTTTCCCATAGGCGGCAATGTTAACATTTCTTCACATAGCAATGTCCCTAATTTTCGTTCAGCATTGAGTGACCCCTCAAATCAAAGCACATCAAGTTGTCTTTCCTTGGTTAAAAGCTCGAGGTGGCATGTCAGATTCGTTTTCCGGCAAAATGCGTCTGTCTGCGTTAACCTCTGAAAATGAAAGTGAAAGTAGGGGATTTCAAGACTTCTCACTGGTGTTATAATACATAAAATAATTCTGCTGATCTTCTTGATAAATTACATCTGCCAAGCTTTTTTGCAAGGGAACATACTCCTTATCAACAAGTATGAGGCTCAGTTTAATACCTTATCACAGTTTTTTTTACTCAGGTCTGCAAATTAAACAACTTGTAATTTTTTCTGCACTACTTTCTTCTCCTACCGATTCTAAAAATAATTAGAGGTATGTACCCAATATGAAAAGAATTCTCTGGATTTTACAACATTTAACATCATAAGTCATACTACAAACTATGTAGTGACATTATGCCAAATTTCAGGAAAATTCAATCATTAATAAAGATTTTACAGCATGCACAGTTCTATATGCAAAATTCTTTTAAAATGCTTCCATCTAGCCACAACTGCACCCAAATTTTAAGTCATCAGTTAGCCTATTAATGTACTTATACCATTTTTATTCTCTTTCATAATTTTAAATACATCAAGCAAAATCATAATCAAGCACTCATACGGGTCCATTTCTCTTATTTTAAAAAATCAATGCATTTTTGCACAAAATTTTATATCCCTCACCCTTGAATTCATTGTTTCTCCATGATTGACAAAAAAATTAAGTTTACAAATACCCCGAAAGTAGTAAAAATAGAAAGTACTGATTATTTCCTGTCCATTGATGCATCATTCAGAAAAATTGGTATAGGAATAAAGAAGTTATAAGCCCTTATATTCTTGTAAACATTCATCTGTTTCAAAGCAATTTTTACGCCAATGCAAGGTCACTCATCTATGACGTCATAATGACATCATAATAATGGATTGCTTATTACACATGTAGTGTTACTTTTCCCGTACTTTTAATTAAAGTTGAAATTAGAACTAAAATATTCATTATAACTATAAAATAACAAAAATACTTGCATGAGCAGATCAAATAAATAGTCTACAGAAAATGTTTTGTTTCCATGGTAACCATTTTGTAATTTGTAGGAAAATGAAAGAGAACTTTGAAAGTTTTGAATTTCCTTACAAGTCGCTCATTCTGACTGACAAATATTAAAGAAATTTCAACTCTTATATTTTTTAATCTTAATATTTTATCATACACAACACTATGAATGTAACTGTTTTGAAATTCTCTTTAAAACATATTAGCTGTAAAATATATAGCATACATGTACAGATTAGTTTGATGTTCACTTTCATTGCTCAAATATTCATTTAAAATCTACATTTACTAAGCTTTAACACCCCCCCCCCCTCCTCCCGCACACACACACATACACACAAAGAAGCTTTAGAAAATTCAACTTACATATTAAAAGTACTGCCATCATTTTATATATGAAGACTCAAGCTGTGTTCAAATGAGTTTGTTTTTCCTGACTGATAGTTTTAAACACCATCTGCATGAACCTCAAAGTTAACCTGTATCAACATGAACCTAAAAAAAAAAATCAATTTAAAAAATGGTGCAATAATTAATCAGCATCAAAAAGCACCTAAAACATTCACAGACAGACATCAAACACACACAATCCTACAACATTCCCTGATGCCCTTAATTGGTTGATATCAATTGAAAATTATGAATTTGCACTGATTAGTCTCAGCATTGTTAAATTACATGTAAATTAATAATACAGGTAAAAAGCATGTAACTGACAATAATTATACATTAGACAAATACATGTAATCCAGTTAATAAAATATAAAAAAAAATGTTAGTGTGCATGTTCACACACACACTGCTTAACTTCTACACAACTGTAGCCTGACCGACTTCTTTGAAAAAATGCACATGTATGTCCTCGTTCATGTAATTCTATTCCATGAAAATAAAAGTTTTCATTTACAAATATTGTAATAAAGCATGGAAACCTCTTTTTTTCTTTACCTCTTTCATAAAATGACAAATGCATATCATCTACATACTGCAAGACTCTGCATTAGGTAGCATAGCTGCACTAAGCAGTGTTGATAACTTACTGCCATTCTACTTTCACTTTGACCTTGAACTTCACTGAATACTGATTCCGACCTCATTTCTGAACTTTTGTGTATTGATGATAAACAATAGTGGTGGATGTACTTCTAAAATAATTGTTCCTTTTCTAAATATCTATTAATGGCTCGGAATTAATAAATTGTATAGAATCGATACATTTAATTTACATGCTACATGTGTACACAATGGGAGATTTGCGCATAAGCTGTCTGTTCCTAAAAATGGGGGGGGGGGGTTATTAACAAATCGATTTGTTTCAAAATATGTATAAACAAATTAAAATTTGCTTCTTTCATAAATTTAAACAATTGGAAATGATAGTAAACACCGAGTTCAAAACAAAGTAAAGATCTATGAGAATTTTCACTTACCAATAGGCTTCACATATTGGGTACAGCCCACTAATTGTTTTCCCATAGGCGGCAATGTTAACATTTCTTCACATAGCAATGTCCCTAATTTTCGTTCAGCATTGAGTGACCCCTCAAATCAAAGCACATCAAGTTGTCTTTCCTTGGTTAAAATCTCGAGGTGGCATGTCAGATTCGTTTTCCGGCAAAATGCGTCTGTCTGCGTTAACCTCTGAAAATGAAAGTGAAAGTAGGGGATTTCAAGACTTCTCACTGGTGTTATAATACATAAAATAATTCTGCTGATCTTCTTGATAAATTACATCTGCCAAGCTTTTTTGCAAGGGAACATACTCCTTATCAACAAGTATGAGGCTCAGTTTAATACCTTATCACAGTTTTTTTTACTCAGGTCTGCAAATTAAACAACTTGTAATTTTTTCTGCACTACTTTCTTCTCCTACCGATTCTAAAAATAATTAGAGGTATGTACCCAATATGAAAAGAATTCTCTGGATTTTACAACATTTAACATCATAAGTCATACTACAAACTATGTAGTGACATTATGCCAAATTTCAGGAAAATTCAATCATTAATAAAGATTTTACAGCATGCACAGTTCTATATGCAAAATTCTTTTAAAATGCTTCCATCTAGCCACAACTGCACCCAAATTTTAAGTCATCAGTTAGCCTATTAATGTACTTATACCATTTTTATTCTCTTTCATAATTTTAAATACATCAAGCAAAATCATAATCAAGCACTCATACGGGTCCATTTCTCTTATTTTAAAAAATCAATGCATTTTTGCACAAAATTTTATATCCCTCACCCTTGAATTCATTGTTTCTCCATGATTGACAAAAAAATTAAGTTTACAAATACCCCGAAAGTAGTAAAAATAGAAAGTACTGATTATTTCCTGTCCATTGATGCATCATTCAGAAAAATTGGTATAGGAATAAAGAAGTTATAAGCCCTTATATTCTTGTAAACATTCATCTGTTTCAAAGCAATTTTTACGCCAATGCAAGGTCACTCATCTATGACGTCATAATGACATCATAATAATGGATTGCTTATTACACATGTAGTGTTACTTTTCCCGTACTTTTAATTAAAGTTGAAATTAGAACTAAAATATTCATTATAACTATAAAATAACAAAAATACTTGCATGAGCAGATCAAATAAATAGTCTACAGAAAATGTTTTGTTTCCATGGTAACCATTTTGTAATTTGTAGGAAAATGAAAGAGAACTTTGAAAGTTTTGAATTTCCTTACAAGTCGCTCATTCTGACTGACAAATATTAAAGAAATTTCAACTCTTATATTTTTTAATCTTAATATTTTATCATACACAACACTATGAATGTAACTGTTTTGAAATTCTCTTTAAAACATATTAGCTGTAAAATATATAGCATACATGTACAGATTAGTTTGATGTTCACTTTCATTGCTCAAATATTCATTTAAAATCTACATTTACTAAGCTTTAACACCCCCCCCCCTCCTCCCGCACACACACACATACACACAAAGAAGCTTTAGAAAATTCAACTTACATATTAAAAGTACTGCCATCATTTTATATATGAAGACTCAAGCTGTGTTCAAATGAGTTTGTTTTTCCTGACTGATAGTTTTAAACACCATCTGCATGAACCTCAAAGTTAACCTGTATCAACATGAACCTAAAAAAAAAAATCAATTTAAAAAATGGTGCAATAATTAATCAGCATCAAAAAGCACCTAAAACATTCACAGACAGACATCAAACACACACAATCCTACAACATTCCCTGATGCCCTTAATTGGTTGATATCAATTGAAAATTATGAATTTGCACTGATTAGTCTCAGCATTGTTAAATTACATGTAAATTAATAATACAGGTAAAAAGCATGTAACTGACAATAATTATACATTAGACAAATACATGTAATCCAGTTAATAAAATATAAAAAAAAATGTTAGTGTGCATGTTCACACACACACTGCTTAACTTCTACACAACTGTAGCCTGACCGACTTCTTTGAAAAAATGCACATGTATGTCCTCGTTCATGTAATTCTATTCCATGAAAATAAAAGTTTTCATTTACAAATATTGTAATAAAGCATGGAAACCTCTTTTTTTCTTTACCTCTTTCATAAAATGACAAATGCATATCATCTACATACTGCAAGACTCTGCATTAGGTAGCATAGCTGCACTAAGCAGTGTTGATAACTTACTGCCATTCTACTTTCACTTTGACCTTGAACTTCACTGAATACTGATTCCGACCTCATTTCTGAACTTTTGTGTATTGATGATAAACAATAGTGGTGGATGTACTTCTAAAATAATTGTTCCTTTTCTAAATATCTATTAATGGCTCGGAATTAATAAATTGTATAGAATCGATACATTTAATTTACATGCTACATGTGTACACAATGGGAGATTTGCGCATAAGCTGTCTGTTCCTAAAAATGGGGGGGGGGGGGTTATTAACAAATCGATTTGTTTCAAAATATGTATAAACAAATTAAAATTTGCTTCTTTCATAAATTTAAACAATTGGAAATGATAGTAAACACCGAGTTCAAAACAAAGTAAAGATCTATGAGAATTTTCACTTACCAATAGGCTTCACATATTGGGTACAGCCCACTAATTGTTTTCCCATAGGCGGCAATGTTAACATTTCTTCACATAGCAATGTCCCTAATTTTCGTTCAGCATTGAGTGACCCCTCAAATCAAAGCACATCAAGTTGTCTTTCCTTGGTTAAAATCTCGAGGTGGCATGTCAGATTCGTTTTCCGGCAAAATGCGTCTGTCTGCGTTAACCTCTGAAAATGAAAGTGAAAGTAGGGGATTTCAAGACTTCTCACTGGTGTTATAATACATAAAATAATTCTGCTGATCTTCTTGATAAATTACATCTGCCAAGCTTTTTTGCAAGGGAACATACTCCTTATCAACAAGTATGAGGCTCAGTTTAATACCTTATCACAGTTTTTTTTACTCAGGTCTGCAAATTAAACAACTTGTAATTTTTTCTGCACTACTTTCTTCTCCTACCGATTCTAAAAATAATTAGAGGTATGTACCCAATATGAAAAGAATTCTCTGGATTTTACAACATTTAACATCATAAGTCATACTACAAACTATGTAGTGACATTATGCCAAATTTCAGGAAAATTCAATCATTAATAAAGATTTTACAGCATGCACAGTTCTATATGCAAAATTCTTTTAAAATGCTTCCATCTAGCCACAACTGCACCCAAATTTTAAGTCATCAGTTAGCCTATTAATGTACTTATACCATTTTTATTCTCTTTCATAATTTTAAATACATCAAGCAAAATCATAATCAAGCACTCATACGGGTCCATTTCTCTTATTTTAAAAAATCAATGCATTTTTGCACAAAATTTTATATCCCTCACCCTTGAATTCATTGTTTCTCCATGATTGACAAAAAAATTAAGTTTACAAATACCCCGAAAGTAGTAAAAATAGAAAGTACTGATTATTTCCTGTCCATTGATGCATCATTCAGAAAAATTGGTATAGGAATAAAGAAGTTATAAGCCCTTATATTCTTGTAAACATTCATCTGTTTCAAAGCAATTTTTACGCCAATGCAAGGTCACTCATCTATGACGTCATAATGACATCATAATAATGGATTGCTTATTACACATGTAGTGTTACTTTTCCCGTACTTTTAATTAAAGTTGAAATTAGAACTAAAATATTCATTATAACTATAAAATAACAAAAATACTTGCATGAGCAGATCAAATAAATAGTCTACAGAAAATGTTTTGTTTCCATGGTAACCATTTTGTAATTTGTAGGAAAATGAAAGAGAACTTTGAAAGTTTTGAATTTCCTTACAAGTCGCTCATTCTGACTGACAAATATTAAAGAAATTTCAACTCTTATATTTTTTAATCTTAATATTTTATCATACACAACACTATGAATGTAACTGTTTTGAAATTCTCTTTAAAACATATTAGCTGTAAAATATATAGCATACATGTACAGATTAGTTTGATGTTCACTTTCATTGCTCAAATATTCATTTAAAATCTACATTTACTAAGCTTTAACACCCCCCCCCCCTCCTCCCGCACACACACACATACACACAAAGAAGCTTTAGAAAATTCAACTTACATATTAAAAGTACTGCCATCATTTTATATATGAAGACTCAAGCTGTGTTCAAATGAGTTTGTTTTTCCTGACTGATAGTTTTAAACACCATCTGCATGAACCTCAAAGTTAACCTGTATCAACATGAACCTAAAAAAAAAAATCAATTTAAAAAATGGTGCAATAATTAATCAGCATCAAAAAGCACCTAAAACATTCACAGACAGACATCAAACACACACAATCCTACAACATTCCCTGATGCCCTTAATTGGTTGATATCAATTGAAAATTATGAATTTGCACTGATTAGTCTCAGCATTGTTAAATTACATGTAAATTAATAATACAGGTAAAAAGCATGTAACTGACAATAATTATACATTAGACAAATACATGTAATCCAGTTAATAAAATATAAAAAAAAATGTTAGTGTGCATGTTCACACACACACTGCTTAACTTCTACACAACTGTAGCCTGACCGACTTCTTTGAAAAAATGCACATGTATGTCCTCGTTCATGTAATTCTATTCCATGAAAATAAAAGTTTTCATTTACAAATATTGTAATAAAGCATGGAAACCTCTTTTTTTCTTTACCTCTTTCATAAAATGACAAATGCATATCATCTACATACTGCAAGACTCTGCATTAGGTAGCATAGCTGCACTAAGCAGTGTTGATAACTTACTGCCATTCTACTTTCACTTTGACCTTGAACTTCACTGAATACTGATTCCGACCTCATTTCTGAACTTTTGTGTATTGATGATAAACAATAGTGGTGGATGTACTTCTAAAATAATTGTTCCTTTTCTAAATATCTATTAATGGCTCGGAATTAATAAATTGTATAGAATCGATACATTTAATTTACATGCTACATGTGTACACAATGGGAGATTTGCGCATAAGCTGTCTGTTCCTAAAAATGGGGGGGGGGGGGTTATTAACAAATCGATTTGTTTCAAAATATGTATAAACAAATTAAAATTTGCTTCTTTCATAAATTTAAACAATTGGAAATGATAGTAAACACCGAGTTCAAAACAAAGTAAAGATCTATGAGAATTTTCACTTACCAATAGGCTTCACATATTGGGTACAGCCCACTAATTGTTTTCCCATAGGCGGCAATGTTAACATTTCTTCACATAGCAATGTCCCTAATTTTCGTTCAGCATTGAGTGACCCCTCAAATCAAAGCACATCAAGTTGTCTTTCCTTGGTTAAAATCTCGAGGTGGCATGTCAGATTCGTTTTCCGGCAAAATGCGTCTGTCTGCGTTAACCTCTGAAAATGAAAGTGAAAGTAGGGGATTTCAAGACTTCTCACTGGTGTTATAATACATAAAATAATTCTGCTGATCTTCTTGATAAATTACATCTGCCAAGCTTTTTTGCAAGGGAACATACTCCTTATCAACAAGTATGAGGCTCAGTTTAATACCTTATCACAGTTTTTTTTACTCAGGTCTGCAAATTAAACAACTTGTAATTTTTTCTGCACTACTTTCTTCTCCTACCGATTCTAAAAATAATTAGAGGTATGTACCCAATATGAAAAGAATTCTCTGGATTTTACAACATTTAACATCATAAGTCATACTACAAACTATGTAGTGACATTATGCCAAATTTCAGGAAAATTCAATCATTAATAAAGATTTTACAGCATGCACAGTTCTATATGCAAAATTCTTTTAAAATGCTTCCATCTAGCCACAACTGCACCCAAATTTTAAGTCATCAGTTAGCCTATTAATGTACTTATACCATTTTTATTCTCTTTCATAATTTTAAATACATCAAGCAAAATCATAATCAAGCACTCATACGGGTCCATTTCTCTTATTTTAAAAAATCAATGCATTTTTGCACAAAATTTTATATCCCTCACCCTTGAATTCATTGTTTCTCCATGATTGACAAAAAAATTAAGTTTACAAATACCCCGAAAGTAGTAAAAATAGAAAGTACTGATTATTTCCTGTCCATTGATGCATCATTCAGAAAAATTGGTATAGGAATAAAGAAGTTATAAGCCCTTATATTCTTGTAAACATTCATCTGTTTCAAAGCAATTTTTACGCCAATGCAAGGTCACTCATCTATGACGTCATAATGACATCATAATAATGGATTGCTTATTACACATGTAGTGTTACTTTTCCCGTACTTTTAATTAAAGTTGAAATTAGAACTAAAATATTCATTATAACTATAAAATAACAAAAATACTTGCATGAGCAGATCAAATAAATAGTCTACAGAAAATGTTTTGTTTCCATGGTAACCATTTTGTAATTTGTAGGAAAATGAAAGAGAACTTTGAAAGTTTTGAATTTCCTTACAAGTCGCTCATTCTGACTGACAAATATTAAAGAAATTTCAACTCTTATATTTTTTAATCTTAATATTTTATCATACACAACACTATGAATGTAACTGTTTTGAAATTCTCTTTAAAACATATTAGCTGTAAAATATATAGCATACATGTACAGATTAGTTTGATGTTCACTTTCATTGCTCAAATATTCATTTAAAATCTACATTTACTAAGCTTTAACACCCCCCCCCCCTCCTCCCGCACACACACACATACACACAAAGAAGCTTTAGAAAATTCAACTTACATATTAAAAGTACTGCCATCATTTTATATATGAAGACTCAAGCTGTGTTCAAATGAGTTTGTTTTTCCTGACTGATAGTTTTAAACACCATCTGCATGAACCTCAAAGTTAACCTGTATCAACATGAACCTAAAAAAAAAAATCAATTTAAAAAATGGTGCAATAATTAATCAGCATCAAAAAGCACCTAAAACATTCACAGACAGACATCAAACACACACAATCCTACAACATTCCCTGATGCCCTTAATTGGTTGATATCAATTGAAAATTATGAATTTGCACTGATTAGTCTCAGCATTGTTAAATTACATGTAAATTAATAATACAGGTAAAAAGCATGTAACTGACAATAATTATACATTAGACAAATACATGTAATCCAGTTAATAAAATATAAAAAAAAATGTTAGTGTGCATGTTCACACACACACTGCTTAACTTCTACACAACTGTAGCCTGACCGACTTCTTTGAAAAAATGCACATGTATGTCCTCGTTCATGTAATTCTATTCCATGAAAATAAAAGTTTTCATTTACAAATATTGTAATAAAGCATGGAAACCTCTTTTTTTCTTTACCTCTTTCATAAAATGACAAATGCATATCATCTACATACTGCAAGACTCTGCATTAGGTAGCATAGCTGCACTAAGCAGTGTTGATAACTTACTGCCATTCTACTTTCACTTTGACCTTGAACTTCACTGAATACTGATTCCGACCTCATTTCTGAACTTTTGTGTATTGATGATAAACAATAGTGGTGGATGTACTTCTAAAATAATTGTTCCTTTTCTAAATATCTATTAATGGCTCGGAATTAATAAATTGTATAGAATCGATACATTTAATTTACATGCTACATGTGTACACAATGGGAGATTTGCGCATAAGCTGTCTGTTCCTAAAAATGGGGGGGGGGGGTTATTAACAAATCGATTTGTTTCAAAATATGTATAAACAAATTAAAATTTGCTTCTTTCATAAATTTAAACAATTGGAAATGATAGTAAACACCGAGTTCAAAACAAAGTAAAGATCTATGAGAATTTTCACTTACCAATAGGCTTCACATATTGGGTACAGCCCACTAATTGTTTTCCCATAGGCGGCAATGTTAACATTTCTTCACATAGCAATGTCCCTAATTTTCGTTCAGCATTGAGTGACCCCTCAAATCAAAGCACATCAAGTTGTCTTTCCTTGGTTAAAATCTCGAGGTGGCATGTCAGATTCGTTTTCCGGCAAAATGCGTCTGTCTGCGTTAACCTCTGAAAATGAAAGTGAAAGTAGGGGATTTCAAGACTTCTCACTGGTGTTATAATACATAAAATAATTCTGCTGATCTTCTTGATAAATTACATCTGCCAAGCTTTTTTGCAAGGGAACATACTCCTTATCAACAAGTATGAGGCTCAGTTTAATACCTTATCACAGTTTTTTTTACTCAGGTCTGCAAATTAAACAACTTGTAATTTTTTCTGCACTACTTTCTTCTCCTACCGATTCTAAAAATAATTAGAGGTATGTACCCAATATGAAAAGAATTCTCTGGATTTTACAACATTTAACATCATAAGTCATACTACAAACTATGTAGTGACATTATGCCAAATTTCAGGAAAATTCAATCATTAATAAAGATTTTACAGCATGCACAGTTCTATATGCAAAATTCTTTTAAAATGCTTCCATCTAGCCACAACTGCACCCAAATTTTAAGTCATCAGTTAGCCTATTAATGTACTTATACCATTTTTATTCTCTTTCATAATTTTAAATACATCAAGCAAAATCATAATCAAGCACTCATACGGGTCCATTTCTCTTATTTTAAAAAATCAATGCATTTTTGCACAAAATTTTATATCCCTCACCCTTGAATTCATTGTTTCTCCATGATTGACAAAAAAATTAAGTTTACAAATACCCCGAAAGTAGTAAAAATAGAAAGTACTGATTATTTCCTGTCCATTGATGCATCATTCAGAAAAATTGGTATAGGAATAAAGAAGTTATAAGCCCTTATATTCTTGTAAACATTCATCTGTTTCAAAGCAATTTTTACGCCAATGCAAGGTCACTCATCTATGACGTCATAATGACATCATAATAATGGATTGCTTATTACACATGTAGTGTTACTTTTCCCGTACTTTTAATTAAAGTTGAAATTAGAACTAAAATATTCATTATAACTATAAAATAACAAAAATACTTGCATGAGCAGATCAAATAAATAGTCTACAGAAAATGTTTTGTTTCCATGGTAACCATTTTGTAATTTGTAGGAAAATGAAAGAGAACTTTGAAAGTTTTGAATTTCCTTACAAGTCGCTCATTCTGACTGACAAATATTAAAGAAATTTCAACTCTTATATTTTTTAATCTTAATATTTTATCATACACAACACTATGAATGTAACTGTTTTGAAATTCTCTTTAAAACATATTAGCTGTAAAATATATAGCATACATGTACAGATTAGTTTGATGTTCACTTTCATTGCTCAAATATTCATTTAAAATCTACATTTACTAAGCTTTAACACCCCCCCCCCCTCCTCCCGCACACACACACATACACACAAAGAAGCTTTAGAAAATTCAACTTACATATTAAAAGTACTGCCATCATTTTATATATGAAGACTCAAGCTGTGTTCAAATGAGTTTGTTTTTCCTGACTGATAGTTTTAAACACCATCTGCATGAACCTCAAAGTTAACCTGTATCAACATGAACCTAAAAAAAAAAATCAATTTAAAAAATGGTGCAATAATTAATCAGCATCAAAAAGCACCTAAAACATTCACAGACAGACATCAAACACACACAATCCTACAACATTCCCTGATGCCCTTAATTGGTTGATATCAATTGAAAATTATGAATTTGCACTGATTAGTCTCAGCATTGTTAAATTACATGTAAATTAATAATACAGGTAAAAAGCATGTAACTGACAATAATTATACATTAGACAAATACATGTAATCCAGTTAATAAAATATAAAAAAAAATGTTAGTGTGCATGTTCACACACACACTGCTTAACTTCTACACAACTGTAGCCTGACCGACTTCTTTGAAAAAATGCACATGTATGTCCTCGTTCATGTAATTCTATTCCATGAAAATAAAAGTTTTCATTTACAAATATTGTAATAAAGCATGGAAACCTCTTTTTTTCTTTACCTCTTTCATAAAATGACAAATGCATATCATCTACATACTGCAAGACTCTGCATTAGGTAGCATAGCTGCACTAAGCAGTGTTGATAACTTACTGCCATTCTACTTTCACTTTGACCTTGAACTTCACTGAATACTGATTCCGACCTCATTTCTGAACTTTTGTGTATTGATGATAAACAATAGTGGTGGATGTACTTCTAAAATAATTGTTCCTTTTCTAAATATCTATTAATGGCTCGGAATTAATAAATTGTATAGAATCGATACATTTAATTTACATGCTACATGTGTACACAATGGGAGATTTGCGCATAAGCTGTCTGTTCCTAAAAATGGGGGGGGGGGGGTTATTAACAAATCGATTTGTTTCAAAATATGTATAAACAAATTAAAATTTGCTTCTTTCATAAATTTAAACAATTGGAAATGATAGTAAACACCGAGTTCAAAACAAAGTAAAGATCTATGAGAATTTTCACTTACCAATAGGCTTCACATATTGGGTACAGCCCACTAATTGTTTTCCCATAGGCGGCAATGTTAACATTTCTTCACATAGCAATGTCCCTAATTTTCGTTCAGCATTGAGTGACCCCTCAAATCAAAGCACATCAAGTTGTCTTTCCTTGGTTAAAATCTCGAGGTGGCATGTCAGATTCGTTTTCCGGCAAAATGCGTCTGTCTGCGTTAACCTCTGAAAATGAAAGTGAAAGTAGGGGATTTCAAGACTTCTCACTGGTGTTATAATACATAAAATAATTCTGCTGATCTTCTTGATAAATTACATCTGCCAAGCTTTTTTGCAAGGGAACATACTCCTTATCAACAAGTATGAGGCTCAGTTTAATACCTTATCACAGTTTTTTTTACTCAGGTCTGCAAATTAAACAACTTGTAATTTTTTCTGCACTACTTTCTTCTCCTACCGATTCTAAAAATAATTAGAGGTATGTACCCAATATGAAAAGAATTCTCTGGATTTTACAACATTTAACATCATAAGTCATACTACAAACTATGTAGTGACATTATGCCAAATTTCAGGAAAATTCAATCATTAATAAAGATTTTACAGCATGCACAGTTCTATATGCAAAATTCTTTTAAAATGCTTCCATCTAGCCACAACTGCACCCAAATTTTAAGTCATCAGTTAGCCTATTAATGTACTTATACCATTTTTATTCTCTTTCATAATTTTAAATACATCAAGCAAAATCATAATCAAGCACTCATACGGGTCCATTTCTCTTATTTTAAAAAATCAATGCATTTTTGCACAAAATTTTATATCCCTCACCCTTGAATTCATTGTTTCTCCATGATTGACAAAAAAATTAAGTTTACAAATACCCCGAAAGTAGTAAAAATAGAAAGTACTGATTATTTCCTGTCCATTGATGCATCATTCAGAAAAATTGGTATAGGAATAAAGAAGTTATAAGCCCTTATATTCTTGTAAACATTCATCTGTTTCAAAGCAATTTTTACGCCAATGCAAGGTCACTCATCTATGACGTCATAATGACATCATAATAATGGATTGCTTATTACACATGTAGTGTTACTTTTCCCGTACTTTTAATTAAAGTTGAAATTAGAACTAAAATATTCATTATAACTATAAAATAACAAAAATACTTGCATGAGCAGATCAAATAAATAGTCTACAGAAAATGTTTTGTTTCCATGGT